GGAGTCCAGGGCACAGCTGCAGCCACTAAACCTGCAGCCGGAGACCTGGCTCTCCCACTCTGTGGAGCAGGCAGGAGTCCTGCCCCCTACCTCCACTCCTACATGCAGCTGCAGCCACCAAAATCTGGCTGGAGACTTAAACAGACTCTTGGGGCCTGGTAAGTCCCCTCTGCCCTCATAGACTCAGAAGTGCCTACTTCCACTGCCTGGCTCCTCCCTGGTGTCCCCACTTCCCATCTCAGCACAAAGTTTAGGAGGGTAACATGAATGACAGCAGGAGCCAGATAGGTTCCTGGGTGGAAGGTGGTGAGTTCCTGGTGAGACCCCACCTTCAGGCCAAGGAGTGCTGGGGGCTGGGCTGCCAGTCCCATGGAGTGGGAACCTGTGGTGCCTTTTCCTGGTCACCCACGGCTGCCCATGGACCAATTGTACACACCTCCTCCCTTCCGAGGCCAATAAAAGCCCTGGGTTTTAGCCAGAGCTGAGCAGAGAGAGGACTACCCACTCCAAGGCCTCCGCTCTGTTGAAAGCTGGGAAGATGACTGGAAGACCTGCCTACAGAGAGGAGAAACCCACTTTAGGGCCCCCTCTCTACTAGGAGCTGAACACTCTTGGGACACCCTGGCTACAGAAAGCAGCTACCCACTGTGGATCTCCTCTGAGCTGTTCTATTGCTCAAAAAAGCTCCTCTTCATCTTGCTCACCCTCTACTTGTCTGCATACCTCATTCTTCCTGATCACAGGACTAGAACTCAGGACCAGAACTCAGGACCCACTGAATGGTGGAGCTAAAAGAGCTATAACACAAACAGGGCTGAAGCATGTCCCTTGCTTGCCACATTGCAGGTGAAGAGGAGAGAAGAGCTGCAACTCCTCACAGACCTGGGAGCTTCCCAAGCCAGGACTGTGACTCCCTCTTTTGGGTCCTACAGGACCTGGCATCTCCAAGCTTCCAGGCACCGCTGCATTTCCTGTTGCCAGTCAGGGAAGCTGTTTGCAGTGCACCTGGGCCACAGCCTCACAGAGAGCCAGGGCCCTTGCCAGCACCTGGAGCTGCCCACCCCACTGCAGTGGCTAGCGTGTCTGAATCCACAGTGGCTGGACCCCATGCTTGCTCACACACCCCTCAGCCCTCCATCACACACCCTTGGCAGGTGAGGGATCCACACTGGTAGTGTGAGCTGAGCGCAGCCTGCAAGTCCAAGTGGGCAGAATGAGCCAAGCAGGCCTGAGCAAAACTCAGGCAAAGGCACCACTGGCCAGAGGTTTCAGGCCAGAAAAGTGACACCCCAAGGATCTCGTAAGAGATGCCAACACCGAGATGACACAAATGTTGTAATCATCTGACAAAAATTTTCATGTAGACATGATAAAAATGTTTCAATGGGAAATTATAAGTATGCATAAAACAAATGAAAGAATAGCAAATCTAAGCAAAGAAATAGAAGACATGAGAACCAAATGGAAATTTTAAAATCTGAAAACACAATAACTGAAATTGAAAACTAATTGGATGGCTAAAAAATAGAACGGAGAGCTGCAGCCAAGCATGGTGGCTCATGACTGTAATCCCAGTACTTTGGAAGGCCAAGGCAGGCAGATCACCTGAAGTCAGGAGTTTAAGACCAGCCTGGCAAAATGGTGAAACCCCGTCTCTATTAAAAATACATCAAATTAACTGGGCATGGTGGCAGGCCCCTGTAATCCCAGCTACTCAGGAGGCTGAGGCAAGAGAATTGCTTGAACCCAGGAGGCAGAGGTTGCAGTAAACTGAGATTGTGCCATTGCACTTCAGTAAAAGTAGGAAAAAAAACAGTAGAACCAGTAAAAGACTTCAATAAAGTTACAGGATACAAGATCAACATATAAAAATGAAGCGTATTTCTTTTTCTTTTTTTTTTCTCGAGACCATGTCTTGCTCTGTTGCCCAGGCTAAAGTGCAGTGTTATGATCTCAGCTCACTACAACTTCTGCCTCCCAAACTCAAAGGATCCTTCCACCTCAGCCTCCCAAGTAGATGGGACTACAGGCATGTACCACCACACCTGGCTAACTTTAGTATTCTTTGTAGAGACAGAGTTTTGCCACCAGGCTGGTCTCATTGAATTATATTGCTATAGACCACCAATAAAGGTGGAGACAGTAAAATTAAAACACAATATCATGTGCAATCATATAAAAAAATACTTAGGTGTAAATCTCGCAAAACCTGTACAGGATCTGTATGCTCAAAACTACAAAGCAATGATAAAAGAAATCAAAGATTAAAAAAAAAAGCAAAAAAATAATAATAAAAATACACACACACACACGAATCAAAGATCAAAATAAATGGAGAGACATACCACGTTCATGGATTGGAAAACTAAGCATGGCAAAGATGTCAATTCTCCCCAAATTAATATATAGATCTAACATATTTCCTATTATAATGAAACCATCATTGCAAAATTATAACTGAGAGAATGAAAGAGATCGGACCTCATCTCCATCTTCCTTCTAACCTCTAAGCTGTTCTTGTTCATTCCTGAGAGTAGGCCAAACTAACTTTGGGAGGAACTTAATTTATAGTCTATAGTTTGAAACAAAGATAATAATAGCTGTTTCCCAAAACAAACCCCCTTCTTGCCTGGGGACTAGACTGCCTTTGTAGGACCAACAAATTAGCCAAAAGATTCAAAATTATGGTTTAGGAGTCATGCAGCTGGCAGCTACAAGATTCTGACCCTTCCCAAATTGATCCAGTGTATAGCAACACTATTATAAAACCTAAGATAAGTATCTGAAATATTTTGCAAACCCTCCACTCAGTGGATCAGCTGACACCACCCAGATCAATAAACTGACTCATTTGGTTTTGTGGCCCCCTATCCAGGAACTGACTCAGCACAAGAGGATGGATAGCTTTGAATCCCTATTATTTCATCTCTTACCAATCACAACTCCGTCTGAACACAGACTCATTTTCTCCCTACCCAACAAATTATCCTTAAAAACTTTGATCCCAAAATTCTCAGGGAGACTGACGAGTAATAAAACTCATCTCCCTCACAGCTGGCTCTGTTAATTACTCTTTATTGCAATTCCTCTGTCTTAATAAATTGGCTCCATGTAGACAGCAGGCAAGATGAAATTATTGAACCTGTGGGGCTGTTAGTTTACAACCTAATCAAAATTTTTAGAAATAGCTAAGCTTATTCTAAAATTCATATGGAAAGGCAATAGGCTAAAACAATTTTGGGGGGAAAAGTGGGAGGAGTCACCCTGCCCCAATTTTAAGACTTTCTACATAGCTACAGTAATCAAAAATGTAGTATGGGGAGATGGATAAATACATTGACTAATGGAACAAAACAGGGAACTCACATACAGAAGCAATTGAATATCCTTTGGAAACACACACACACACACACAGAGACCTCAATCTGAACCTCATAACTTGTACAAAAATAACTTAGATCATACATTTAAATGTAAAACTATATAACATTTTAGAAAAAAAAACAAATAATTGGGATCTAGGTCTTGGTGAAGAGTTCTTAGAAATAGCACTAACAACATGATCCATAAAAGAAAGAAAAATGACAAACTGGACTTTATAAAAATTAAAAACTGGGCTGGGCGCGGTGGCTCACGCCTGTAATCCTAGCACTTTGGGAGGCCGAGGTGGGTGGATCACCTGAGGTCAGGAGTTCGAGACCAGCCTGGCCATAATGGTGAAACCCCATCTTGGAAAAAAAAAAAAAAAAATTTAAAAACTTTTGCTCAGCAAAAGGCTCTGATAAAATGAAAAGTTATAGACTGGGAGAAAATATCTGCAAATGAGCTGGCAAAGGACTTTAATCTAGAAAATATAAAGAATTCTCAAAGCACAATGGTTAAAAACAATCCAATTATAAAATGGGCAAGAGGCATGCAGATACATTTTACCAAAGATAACATATGGATGGCACATAAGCACATGAAAATAGATTAAACATCATCGGCCATTAGGGAAATGCAGACAAACAAAACCGTAACAATGCATCTCTATTAGAACAGTGAAAATAAAAACAAGTGCCAATCCGATATCCTGGCAAAAATGCAAAGGAACTGCATCTCTCATTGTTGGTGGGAATGTAAAATGAGATAGCAACTCTGGGAAATAGTTGGGCAGTTTCTTATATCCCAGAGAAATGAAGACTTAAATGTATAAAAACTTACACACAAATGTTCATGGCAGTTTTATTTTTAATACCCCAAAACTAGAAACAACCCAAATGTCTTATAATAGATGAGTGAGCAGTTAGACAAACTGGTAAATCCACAGCAACATTTTAGAAACTGAAAAATATTGGTACATATAATAAAACTTGGATGGAATTAAAGAGCCTCATACGGTGGAGGGGAAACTCATTCTCAAAAAGTTACATATGCTATGATTGTATATATACTATGCCATTCATATAACTTCTTGAAATGATAAAACTACAGTGAAGATTAGTGGTTTTCACGGGTTAGGAAAGGTGGTGAAAGAATGGGTGATAAGGTGTGACAGTAAGTGGGTAATATAAGGGCTACTTTGTGGCAATGGAACACTTTTGTATATTGTGGTGGTCGTTAAAGTGCACAACTACACACACATACAAACTCGTGAAATCTGAGTAACATCTGGAGTTAATAGTAATGTGCCAGTCAGTGTTGCTTTATTAGTTTTGACAAAGGTACCACAGTAACATTAAGATATTAACTTAAGGGGAAACTGGATAAGGGTATATAAGGAACTCTCTGTACTCTTTGTAACTTTTCTGTAAATCTAACATTATTCCAACATAAAAATATTTCATAAAAGCAAAGAAAAATTTTTAATGTGACACTATCACACAGCCACCAGAATAGCTGAAATTAGAGTGAAAACAGCAGGTAGGTGAGATGAAGCAATACTCTATTTTCCAGTAACTTCCTTTTTATGCTTTATACTCAGCAGAAATGCATACATATGTTCAACAAGACAACCGGTAGAATGTTTATAGCAGCTTTATTCATAATAGCCAAAACTGGAAACAGCCCAAATGCATATTAACAGAATGAATATATTTATACAATGTAATACTGTATAGAACAGTATGAATGAACAAACTACAACATGCAACAATATAGATGAATTGTATAGACCTATTGTTGAGTCAAAGAAGCCAGACACAAGAATACATAATATGTTATCCATTTATTTGAAGCTGAAAAACAGGCAAAACAAATCTATGCTGCTGGGTTAATAGACCACCCTTGGGATAGTGGTATAGAAACTGGAAGAGAACATGCATGGAGCTTCTGGAGTACTGGTGATGTTTCAATTCTTAATTTCATACTGGTTTTTGCATGTGTTCACTGTATGAAAAGTCAAACCTGTACACAATTTGTGTGATTTTCTATATGTAAATTATACTTCAATAAAAATTTTACCAAAAAGCAAACACCAAGTGAGATACCACTACACACTCATTAAAAAGCCTAAAATTGAAAAAGAAATCAATCAATACCAAGTGCCAGCAAAGATGTGGAGCAACTGAAATGTTCATTTACAGACAGCGAGAATATAAATTAGTATAACCACTTTAGAAAAATGGTTGGCAATCTCTATTAAAGGTGAATATACACATATTCTATGAACCAGCAATTTCACCCCATTATATACCCATCACAAATGTATACATACGAGTTCTCAAAAGACATGTACAAGAATATTCACAGCAGTATTATCCCAAACTGAAAATAACCCAAAAGTCCTTCAGTGCTGCTGGAGCTTATTAAAGTGAGTTAAAGCTCAGAATTGCAGTGAAGTTAACCTCCTTGGTAGCATCCCTCAATCAACTGGAAACAGGAGCCAGTGGATAAATATTTCAGCCTCCTGTTTGGTCAGGCAATTCTGGGAAGCATTATATATCCAACCTCCATAACACCCTTGTATTGATTTTTCTTCTGTCTCACTCTCCCATCTTTCCCACTCCTGCATCCTGGAGCCATACCCCAAATAAACGACTGCACTCAAATTTTTTTCTCTGAAGATGTGCTCTCAGGAAAACCTGAACTTCAGTAATACATTATAACATTTATATGTGGCTTCAAAATAAGTAAAACCTACCTATGGTGATACAAGTCAGAAGACTGGTTAGGATAACCAGTGGTGGTAATGATGGAAGAGAGGTTTCTGAAGTGCTGGTTATGTTCCCCATCCTAATCAGAGTGATGTTTAAACAGGCATGTTTACTTTGCAAATCTTCATCAAGCTGCATGCTTAAGATGTGTCCATTTTGTAGCATATGTTTTAATTAAAAAAAAAATTAAGGAATGCAGGTGTTAAGTGGTACAAGATATTCCCACTAAGAAAAGAGTGGGCTTTGTAAGGGAAACTGAACTTAAAGGTACTGAAAGACAAATGAGTGGCCAGGTACGGTGGCTCACACCTGTAATCCCAGCACTTTGGGAGGTCAAGGCAGGCAGATCACAAGGTCAGGAGTTCGAGACAAGCATGGCCAGCATGATGAAATCCCATCTCTACTAAAAATACAAAAAATTAGCCAGGTGTGGTGGCAGGCACCTGTAATCCCAGCTACCCAGGAGGCTAACGCAGAATCCAGGAGTCAGAGGTTGCAGTAAGCTGAGACTGTGCCACTGCACTCCAGCCAGGCCAACAGAGCGAGACTCCATCTCAGAAAATAAATAAATAACTGCAATGGACACACCCAACTATTTTGGATAATACCCCTCTCTCTTGGCATGAGATTACTGATTATGAATTACCGAGGGATTTGTTGGAGACTGACATTAGAAGAGGAATGTGAACTATTATAGTGAAAGTTGCAAAGTTGCAGTAGTGAAACTTACCCATAAGAATGCACCCATTTGAGACAGGCATAAAAGATTACAATACCCCTCTAGGTGTTTGGTGAATAGTTATTTCCTCAGCCTTGCTTTGCATTTCTGCTGTTTGCCAAGACTGCCTCAGAGGGCCAATCCTCCCCTTTTCTTCTCCCCTTTTCATGTATTCATTCAACATGTATTTGTTTAGACAATGTGCTAAGCACTAGCAATATATTAATCACAAGTAATAGATGTGGTCCCTGCTCTGAGTTTCATTCTAATTTAAAAAAACACATGTTAATCAAATAGTCATACAAATCAATGAGTACTGTAGTGCAACAAAGAGATTCCTGGTTTTGACAGACTATTGGCCTGGATAAGAAAGGCGGGGTGAGCTTTCTGGAGGAAGTGACCCAAGTTGAAATCTGAAGGATGAAGAGAAGGTTAACTAGGGAACCGAATAGGTGGGGAACATGAGTAGTAAGAGGAACAAGTCCAATGTGGTTGAACAGAGAAAGTAAGGGGACATATGGCAGAGGCTGTACAGATGGGCAAAGGGTCAGGCTATCTCTGGCCTTGTGGACTCTATTAAAAAGTTTTGTCATTCTCCTAAGGGCAAGTAATGCCAGAAATGGTTTTAAGTCAATAAGTGCCCTGATTGTATGTGTGTTTTGAAGAAACCAATATGGCTGTTGTAGGAACAAGTGATTGGAAAAAGGTAAAAGTGGATGAAGGGTAGACAGGAGGATACTGCAGTAAGCTAGGAGCAAGGTGATGGAGGCTTGGATTGAGATGGTAGCTGTCAAGATGGAAAGAAGTAAAACTATTCAAAAGATATTTAGAAGGCACCTGGGTACTAACAGTAGCTATAAAATAGGACGTTTCATCTTTAATTCTTAACATTAACAACAACACATTTACATCAGATACAGGAGTATGCATTTTCTTAACGTTGGCTATTAGTCTTGAGCAGCAAATTTCTTCTTAGGGAAAAAGTTATGTGACCAGATGTACCTTAATTGTGGCTGGTATATTCAGAAGCTGCTAAGTAAAAATGGCTCAAGAAGAGAATTGAGAGTTGCCTTCAAGTTGCAGAAGTGGGGACAAGGATATGGAACCACCAGTGAAGTATTAATACCCAAAAGGCATTTAGAGAAAGAGAAAATAGGCAAGTGTACAAATATAAGGGCAGGCAAGAGGCTGCCATCTGTGTAGGAAAAGTTAAAATAGGACTATTCGGATAAACCAAAGCTAGGACAACACTTCCCAAGACCTACAGAGCTCTCTGGAAAATGAGCTATCAAGACATTTGAATGAAGACTGCAGACTTCTAAGAAGTGAGAAATTATTGAGGAAAGATGTCCTTACACATTCAGGTGAGTGCTTAAAACAGCAGCATAAACTTCACAAGGAGTACTGCTATATGCCTGATCCCCATGCTGAGGGAGTGGGTGAGGGAACAGTAGGGCTATTATGTTGCAGAGAGGACTGTATTCCCAGGTGAGAGGGCATAAAAGAGCCAACACTAAGAGGCTTAGATTTCCCCTGGGGAACTAGATTCTACCAAGGGCTACTCCTGTTGCTCAAGGCAAAGAGCTGGGTCACCCCTACAAGGAAAAGCACTGAGAGTCAGTCCAGGATGGGAGATATGGCAATGGCAGAGATGACAGCATTTTCAGCATTCATGAAAACAACTATTAGACTGTCTTCACACTGCTATAAACAACTTCCCAAGACTGGGCAATTTATAAAGGAAAGAAGTCTGACAATTCTGCATGGCTGGGGAGGCCTCAGGAAACTTAAAATCATGGCAGAAAGGGAAGCAGGCACATCTTACGTGGCAGGTGAGACAAGTTTGTGTAGGAAGCGAGGGGGAAGAGCCCCTCATAAAACCATCAGATCTCATGAGAACTCACTCCACAAGAACAGCATGGGGGAAACTGCCCCCATGAACCAATCACCTCCCATCGTCTCCGTCCCTCAACAGAGTTGGGGATTATGAGCTTCACAATTTAAGATGAGATTTGGGTGGGGAAACAGCCAAACTATTCACAATATACAGAGTGGATATAAAGTTCTGGGGAAAAGGTAAGTTTGCCCCCATGAACCAATCACCTCCCATCATCTCTGTCCCTCAACAGAGTTGGGGATTATGAGCTTCACAATTAAAGATGAGATTTGGGTGGGGAAACAGCCAAACTGTATTCACAATATACAGACAGTGGATATAAAGTTCTGGGGAAAAGGTAAGTTTGTGGGGATGAGTACTACAGTAACGACTGAAATCTTGTAGACCTGGACAAAGTTAGGCTGGCAGCTGGCTCTAGCTTGTTATTTAGCAGACTACCCTGTGGTGTGAGGTAATTTTCCCCAGGAGGGCCAGTGGGGGCTTTTAAGTATTTATGCCACTTTAAAAAGCTAGTATCCATAAAACAGGGACAGACAATAAGTACAGTAGACACCAAGACATAATGGTCCATGTAAAGATTAAACCTGGATGGAAACTAGTCAAGTTGTTAACCAAGGACCACGCTAGAAATGGAGTCTCAGTCACTGCACTTGACAGGTGGATTCTTGGATCAAGAATTTTGGGGAGGAAGGCTATGTCTCAAATTCACCCCAACTTCTTATTGTGGTTTGTGAGAGTCTGCAAGTGACCGAATCCTTGTCAATGGACCTATTTCAGAGTAACGTCCCTGTGGGAATCTCTTTTTACAACTCTTGCAATGTCACTGCCATGGCTCACACCTTTAATACCAGTACTTTGGGAGACTAAGGTGGGTAGATCACTTGAGGCCAGGAGTTCTAGACCTGCCTGGCAAATTCGACAAAACCACATCTCTACTAAAAACACAAAAAATTTAGCCAGGTGTGGTGGCATGTGCTACTCAGGAGAATCACTTGAACCTGATAGGCAGAGGTTTCAGTGAGCCGAGATCATATCACTGCACTGCAGCCTGGGTGTCAGAGCAAGACTGTCTCAGAACAAAACAAAAAGTACTCAAGAGTACTAACAGTGGTTTTTTCCAAGATATTTGGTAAAGTGTCTTCTGGACCAGAAGAAATGGTTTAAAAATACATGTGGGTTGGAGAAGCTGTATTTTCTATTTCTGCTTGACTTCTAAAGCCCAACAAAGTTGCCTGAAATGGCAGACTTTCAGCTGTTAGCCAGGCACTTCTCTACATGCTCTTCCAACTATTCAATCGATAAATGACTCTCGGAGAATGAAATAGTATGGATATTTTTCCCCTTCTGTTAAAGAGAGAAGTTGCTAGGACCTCAGTCTGTTACCTCTAGTGGGAAATAGTTTATTCAATTTCTATGACAAAAAACACCATTTCCTCGTTGAAGGTCCAAAACCCCATGGAGTAAAGTCATGCCTATATCAAATTTTGGGCTCTACTATTTGAATCACCATAGGGCTGTGAGCAAGGTAATCTCTCTGAAGCTCCTTTAAACACAGAAATGACTACCATATGTACGTATAGAACTGTTGAGTCTATGTCAATTAAATGCTTGCCTAGCAGGCTGCATACAAAGCCTGTAAAACATACTCTATTGCCTCAGTATGAAGCAACTGACAAGATGGGTTCCCATTAAACAATACAGTTTATCCCGTAAGAGGCACTGCTATATGAAGGTGTGAGCAACATGGATCAAGCCTGCAAAATCTTGCCTTTGTAGATGCCCTCACTAAGGAAATCTTCAATATTAAGGCCTTGGGCCTAGAGTCTAGGAAACAAAACATCAACTCAAGACACACAAAATCTTGGGAGTCACATTTGTTCATGTACATTTGAGTTAGTAACCACTAGCAGTATTTGTCTGCAAACTTCTCAATATTCTATAGCACTTAACTATCCAATACAGTAGTCTCATGTCATGTAAGTAAAAATTTGAAGTCCAACTCTTCAGTCACACTAGCCACATCTCAAGGCTCAATGTCACTAGTTGCTTTCATATTGCTCAATATATCATAAAACATTTCCATCATCATGACATTTTACTGACAGTACTATAGCTTTAACAGCTTACTTTAACAGGCTTTGTTAAAGAACAAGGAATTTTTTCCCTTCCTCTGTACCCACCAGATGACTCCCTAGGTGTCTTCTTTACTCTGGGGCCTAGGCTTTAAAGGTACACCTTGACCCTTTCAGCTGCCTTCAGTTCTTTGAGGAAAAAACACCTGTCACACTTTCTCTTACTGCCCTTAATTCTCACATATACATGGTCATCTTTTTACTAAATTAGCCAGCCACCTAGCCACCCTTTCTTGAAAGCACTGTCCTTTCCTAATCCTCACCTTTCTTTATCAAACAGGGTTGCTTTTCCCTCTTTGGTGCCATGGTTCACAATTTGGGCCAAAAGTTGGTATTATGGCAACTTGAAAAATGTATCATGTCTGTAGGACCTTTCCAATCTGGCTGTGTGAACAAAAGTTAAAAATTAAAGTATCAATGAGTCCCAATCCTAGAGATTTAATAGGTCTGGAGTGCACATATCCAGATTTATAAGCCCATCCCACACTCCCAGGAAACACACAAAGTTGAAGCCTACTAAATCCAAAAATTTGGTTAATAAACTATAAGCTACATTTTTTCTAGATTTGTTAAAGGACTGTATGAGTTATTTTCCCAAATGCAAACTTGTTGGCGCTTCAGGGACATGTTTCTCAAAACTTTCATTTGTGTGCAACTTGAAAAAACAATCCAACATGCTTCCTCTTCCAACTCCTTCCTACTAGTCCCTTTGTCAATTAGATTCACCCCATTACACTATTCTCCCCTTCGTCTGTTTTGTAGTTCTAACTCACAAAGGGCATTAGCTCCAATACTCTTTAAAAAATTCCTGCTTTCCAAAATTGAGATTTAACTTGAAAATTACTAATGCAAACACAAATTCTGTTTTCTACTTTAACTTTGTCTAACATTTGGAAAGCTTTTGTCTGGTCAGGTATGTCTATGCTCACCTTTTACACTGCAGTTTACATTTTTACCTTATACCGAATTCCCTCCAAACACTAAAAGTCTCCAGGAGTGCTCCTTATTAGTGTGAAAGGTTCCTAAAAGATACTCAGACCATAGTACAGACATTATATGTAACTCATTTACCAGTCAATCATTTCTATGTCATGTTTACTACTGTCTACTGGTTTTCTGGTCAGGGTATTTTTCTTGGATGCTTCTAAATTCCAATGAAATGCATTTTCTTGGTCAATGTGATCTGAACAAGGGTTCAGAAATGGAAACTCTATTTGGACATCAGTGTAGCTGAATTCTCATAATAAAAAAAAAGGTCAACTGTCAGTAGGAAGGAATGTTTTCTGGTTCTCCCCAGTCAACGCTTTGTCAGGCCAGGCATATGTTCCTGAACTTTCAACTGATCTCATTAAACATACACCATTTCTTTATTCTACAACCACTTCCACAAAGCACTTGTTTTATCAAGGTTACCTCAAAACACTAGTACTTGTATATAGTTTATCAACTGTTCTACTTCTGTACTTTCTGTATTATACACTGGGCTTTGCTCCCCCCACCCCCCGCCCACTCTCTTGAATAAAACATACTGCCAAATTATAGTAGATTCATGTGTGGACACTTCACGGTTATCTTATGGTTTAGTTCGCGTCAATTGTACTATTACATTCTTCCCAATCCTACTTTGACACCAGTTTATTTCCTTCCAATTTACCACCTTTTGGTTCCAATTTCTTTTCCTTTTCTATTACATTTAGTTCCTTCTGAAAAAGAGGCTTTAAGCCACACAACTAAGTAGTAGTAACACCTGAAGTGAAATCTAAGAGGAGCCCTCTTTTCTAGAATCCCAAATTTAGCCTCCATTCCCACCTTACAGCTTTCCGTTAGCTCATCCCACTGAGACAGCAGCAAACTAGTAACTACCCAATGCAGAGTGCTCCAAACTTTCCCAATCATACATTATGCAGCATCAGAAAGATATGTTACTAAGTATTTTTTGTTCATCCACTTCCTCTCCTGCTTTCTAACCCTGAACAAAATTGCACTTATATGACAGGACAGTTTAGATTTCATAGCATGAGAAACGTGTTCTGAATTTTATTTTAAATTGTTTCAAATTTTACTTCCACTAAATAGTGTAGGGCCCTTTAATCAGACTGTCAATCTGAAATCCCTCAATTACTACCTGACTCTAAAATCATCATATCTATCCCCTTTACCTACACTGTCGTACCTACTATTCTGACTCTCTATAATTTCTCTTGAGCCAACTCCTTTTCTTACTTTGCAGGGCCCAGGGTTAAGTAATGTCACTGTACATATCATCTGATAAATGGCCTTTAAAAACACTAGCCCCTTTCTGAAAAAGCCTATACTCCTCTGCATTGCATCAGGTTCTAAAAAGCATCTTACCAGATGTTATCAACCCTGGTCTCTATTTTGCTAGTTTCGTCTAGGTACCTAAATGTCAAATTGTTAAATGAGTATACCTGTAATTATAGAAAACAGAGTACTGTTGTCTTAAACACACATTAGCCTTAAACCAAGACTGTGAAATGACTTTCCTATCAAGAGAAACTAGAAATGCTGGTATTCCAACAATAACCCTACCATATCTGTGTGATTTGTGACCATGCTCTCTAGCTATTTGCAAAAGTAACCGCGGCTAATTAAAAGTAATAGCAAAAGCTACAATACCTTTGTATCAACCTAGTATTTAAAAGCACGTTCCAGAGCTTCTTTCAATACCTGCTTTACTACAAAATTAAATGTACAGCTGGCCCTCCACGTTCATGGGTTCTGCACATGCAGATTCAACCAACTACAGATTGAAAATGCTAAGAAAAACTAAAAGTTAACAAGAATACAAATAAAAATATACAGCTACAGGTATTTACATGGCATTTACATTTTATCAGTTATATTTATCATGTAGAGATGATTTAAAGTTTAGAGGAGAGTATGTGTAGGTTACATATAAATATTATGCCATTATGCCATTTTATGTAAGGGACTAACTGGAGCATCTGCAGATTGTGGTATTCACAGCTAACAGACTGACTGCTCTGTGTGGGTCCTACAGTGAAGAGAAAAGCAGACACTTGATTCTGAACTAATCTGTCTAGTATTTTCCAAAAATTTGCAGCTAACAACATAATATTAAACAGGTTTTATTAGCATGTTACCTATCTGACACTCTCTCCTAAGGATCCAGTTTATTTTCTAGTCATGGGTTACTTACTAAGTTTGTGTAACATGAGCTAACCTCAGATCAGAAAACATCAAGTGGGTAGTATTCCTGACCAAATTAACATACAAAGGAATTGCCTTTATATCATGTATTTGGGCTCTCAAGGGTAGTCCAGCCTCTTATATTCTGCTCGTCACCTGTTATATAAAATAATCTATAAAATCCTTATAAATAAGACATAAGTTTTGCCTATAATGCACAGGATGAAAAAAGGCTAGTACTGCATGTTATTTAACAATAGCAACTTTATAGTGGAATCCAAGGTTTGTGTGCACAAAAATTGTAAATGCCATTTTCTGCTGTGCTGGAAAAGCTGAAAAATAAATATGAACTAGGCCTTTCAAGGATAAGGTTTCAACACTGGTAGCTGTTTAATTATATTCGTCTTAAGACTGGATGCTAAAGATGCAATCGCTGCAATTAAAGTTGAAGGAAAACAAAAAAATTAGCTAATACAGGTAAAAGATCATTTAGCATAAAATAAATGTGTTATATTCTCTATGTTCTCAGTCACCTGGGAAGGCAGACTATGGAATATCAGGAAATTGTTGTTTTGTTTTTCCAGTAACATGGAGGTTTCAGAATTCAGAAGGTAGCTAGGGCTATAAATAATTACAAGGACAAAACAGAAGCAGGGGTTCCATTATCCAGCTGTTGAAAATTTCCTGAAATCTTAATGTTTTTGAGCCTATCCTATTTAAGGACAAAACAATTTAGCACACAACAAAAACCTCAAAAAGGGTACCAGCTGGACTACAAAGCACTAATGAAAAGCCAGAGGATACACTTCCCAATCTTTCATTAGGATGTAAAAGCCACTTTGAAAACAATCTCCACTTGATGTCAAGTTGACTCCTCAATGCAACATGCATCTCAATGAAATACAATTTGAGTAGTGTTATGTTGGTATGCATAATGATTATGACTCCAAGAAAAATATAGTGCATTCTAGGGGTTTTGTGGAGGACGCTGTAAAACAAAGAGTTTAAAGTAAACAATAATACAATACAAAAATAAAAACCAGGGTGATTTTTCTCCAAATTCCTGGTTTAATAAGGACTTGTTTATTTTGAAGAAAAAAGGTCCCAAACATCAGGCTGTTCACAAAAATAACCCACAGTATCAACTTTAGAAAACAAATCTTAAGACTATAACACTATTTTTCTAGAGGATGCATTTGACATGCCAACTCTCATTCACAAAAATACATCGTTACATTTGTGTTGAACTGCCCCACAGAGCACACTAATGTTGGGGTGTAACACACATACTTCTAACTCAAAGCTGCTTTCAGGAGCTACTCAACTAAATGAGATTGCCTTTGCAGTTAGGGAAGCAACTACTGAACATATGTATGAATGAAAAGAACTGTACTCCCTTCATAACAAGAGATTATTTTGGAGACAGTTGATAAAAACCATACATCCTTTTTATTGTTAAGTCATAAAGAGGTATCAAAATTAAAAGCAAAAATTACAGGGTAAGACTTAACAAAACTACTAGGAGCGTCAAAAAGGAAGTGAAAATGGGACTAGGCGCAGGGAAATATGAATTAATGAACATGGGAAAGACAAGGATGGGGAGAACAGTGAGCATGTGCTGAAGATACTAGGGGAGAGGATCTGGTGAAAAATTTGATCTTAGACAAGCGCCTAGGTAAAGAAATAATGGGATAAGATTTCTAAACCCCACTATGTGCTTAAGAGTCATCCTCGCCATTGGCGCTGTCTCTGTCATCCTCTCCTTCCTCAGCCTCTTTTTCATCATCCTTGATCAACTCCAGCTGTGAGAAACAGACACAAATAGGATGGAGTTAGAGGCACTCCATGTGTCCCTGAGCCCCCCTCCACCACCTTTTTCTTTCCTTTCCCGTGGTTTTCACCTGGTCATCCCCCCGATCTTCATTATCATCATCATCCAGTAGGTCCCCCTCCTCAGCAGAGTCATCTGCACCCCCCTCAGACTCCATCTTCACATTAGTCTCATCTTTCTTCACGGAGCTGCTGCTCTGCTCCTCTTCTGACTTATCATTCTTCATCTCTACTGGGGATGAGAAGGACAAGTCTGTCTAGGGGCAGTTATGTCCACAGGATGTAGACAATCCCCACTAAGGATCACAGAACTGCAGCACAAATCTAAATCCTCCCATACAAATGCCTTTCCCAATTCACACTCCCCAAGTTTTACATTAAATTGCTTTATATTCCACTATTCAAACACATACTTTCAACTGCCTTATGTAACTAGCCCAACTGTATACCCAACAAGCAAAAAACCCATTTACCTGCTTGTTTGCTCTGTTCCTTTTCAATTTTTTCCAGGTTTTCCAGGAGAGAATCCACTTTTTGTTTTATCTGGGTCAGTTCCTTCTTAATGGCCTGAAGGTCATCTCCTTTCACTTTAATATAAACAAAATCCTGGATTAAAATCAAATGTACTAGAAGATATGAGTTAGCAAATACATTCACACTAGACTACACCAGGAGCTCACAAAAGTTCCCCAGGGAGAGACAGAGCCACTGAAGATTTCCTGGTAATGAAGGGCCTTGATTTTAAGCTTGCCAAAAACCTTGTAAAGTACTTTCTGTAATGGTTCTTGTTTTGTTTTTAATGTCTTTTAGATCTGGGCTCTCACTATGTTCCCCAGGCCTGAGTGCAGCGACCATGTACAGATAATGATCATTCTAGAGGATGCACTACAGTCTCAAACATTAGGTCTCATGCAATCCTCCCACCACAGCCTAGATCTCGTCAGTCTTAGTAGCCTCCTCCGAAGCATCTGATACAGACATGAGCCACTGCATCAGACCTTCTGTAATGTTTTATTGCCTTCCATATTTCCAGTTACAGGGAATTTGGCCACTGAATCACAGTCCTGTCTCTTCCATCGCTTTGGATTAATTTTTTTTCTGAGATGGGAGTTTGGCTCGTCACCTGGGCAGGAATGCAATGGCATGATCTTGGCTCACTGCAACCTCTGCCTCTCTGGTTCAAGCGATTCTCCTGCCTCAGTCTCCCAAGTAGCTGGGATTATATGCATGCACCACCACACCCAGCTCATTTTTTGTGTTTTCAGTAGAGACAGGGTGTCGCCATGTTGAGACAGGCTGGTCTCAAACTCCTGACTCAGGTGAACCGCCCTATTTGGCTTCCAAAAGTGCTGGTATTACAAGCGTTGAGCCACCATATCCAGCATCTTCCATCATTTTGAATATATAAAGCCATGTAGCACAAAAATACTAGAACTGCATTAGCTTCCCTATTTCAAAACACATGAGATATCAAAATCACAAAACTGAAAAAATACGTACATTTTCCAGACTTGGAAGATCCCCGCTGTCCACTCTTAGAATTGAAGCCACTTTTGCCCCTTCGTGAGGTGTTTCCTGATACACGCTGACGTTTCGAGGGCACTACAGCCCGAGCAATAGGAGGAGGAGGAGGTACACGTGCTGGGTAACTGTACATCCTATTGGACAAAAAGAAAATAAAATTCATTCAAACTAACATTAACTCAGTACAATTCAACACATCTCATGATACATAATATCCATTGTCTCTCAGTTGTTTCATTTTACTAAATTTCATTAAGGTCAACAAAATCTCCATGACTTGATAAAATAGTTTTAATACTGCAGCAATGTTCCTTAAGGAACAATACGTATCTCAAATTATATGGTTGGCTGGCCTTTAGCACTGGATATAAATAGTTCCTCTGTGTTAGTGGCAGTATTTACGGGGCACTTTTTTTTATAATGACTAGCCTTTGTTTTATGTTATTCTTTTCCTATATACAATAAATAATTCACATAAGGTCGAATACTCTTAAAAAGATTCCAATTAACTGGGTATATAAACAGAGGTATTTAGCATTAGCCAAATCCCTGATCTTTTCACCCACAGAAGCACACAAATTATCACACCTAGTGATATAAAATTAAACCATGTAAAAATTACAAATATGGATCATTTCTGACCTATGAAAACAGGGCAATTTCAGGAAACTGAGCAAATCATAGCAAGATGTGTCGGCTAGGTATAAATACCACTAACATAAAATATCTCATATAAAAAACAGTATCATTTCTAACTAAATTTATGCTTATTTACAACAGGGCAGAGGCCACTGTCTATCTTGTTTACTATTCAGTGTCTAAATTCATCGGCCAGTACACACTACATACACACTTAGCACTCAAACACTGGTTGCTCAACTAAATGCTTGTTTCTGTTATAATCTTAATTTCAAATATAATAATAAACTTACTGCCCCAGTAATTGATAAAGATACACCAAAGTCGCAGACTCTTACATTTTTAAAGAGAAAATTCAAAACCCAACAAAATAGTTCCTACATGGACATCACTTCCAGACTTTCTACATTCCACATTGTCATTTCTATATAAGAGCCTATGGCAACGTATAATAAGGTCTTTTAATTCTAGCCATACAAGCTTTTCAAAAATGCAACCAACTTAACACATAGGCCAAGGTACTCTATAAAAATACACCTACCAACTGCTCTAACTCCAAAGATTTCTTAAAAAACAAATGTGATATAGTCAAGAACATTAAAATTTTATGATTCTCTCATTTATATATAACGGTGGAGAGTTTTTGGAGTTATAGAATGTCTCCAATCTTCCTGTAGTGAAAACATTTACAACATCTCATTGCTAATTCTCTCCTCTGTCAACCTAAAGTGTTTTCATATATTTTAGCAAAGTAATACTTAATCTCCTCTTGGGAGAGCCTACGAACAGGAACATTTTCCTAAGTTAACAGGGAGCAAGGAAAGTGGAGGTGGAAAGACTGGTTGAGCGCAGGTGAGAGCACCATGACTGCACCATTGCACTGGAACCTGGGGAAAGAGTGACATGGTCTCCAAAAAAAAAAAAAAAAAAAAAAAAAGTAAATTATTAACTATATAGTTAATCTGTTAGTTTAATCCATTCATGGGAATAAATGCAAACAAGATACTGAGTAACTTTTTATTATCACTACCTTCACATTTTGACATGAAACTTTTGGTATTTTTGAACAAAATCTTCAAAATATAATGATACAGAAACTATAAATTATCAGTAAACCACATCTTTAGTGCAAGATAACACTTGCACAAAACCAAACCACATAAAGACAATTTCTGGAGGTAAATCAAAATGATTTATTGGTATCCATGAGCACTAAACTGAGATTAAGCCCCATTCCAATTAGATATAAATACCTAATCTAATGCCTAAGCCACTAAGCCTCACTGGCACCCATATCTAAACCAACGAGCTAGCTAGCTAGCTAGCTAGTTCCATACTGTCACTGAAATTTCCTTTTAAAACCTATTATTTCATCTGACCATAACATAAATGAAGCAAGTAATAGTTTTGTTTTAAATCTATAACAGAACCATTAACACAGTTAGGAATCAAATTCTTGACTTTTCTGAAGAAAAATATTTTCAAAATATTTCACCCGGTAGGGTTCAAAGGACTTTTAGTTACACAAAATGCTGCTCAGGCAGAAATGGACTGTCACACATCAAAGGAAGTAGTCCTTGCCTCGAAAAATGTTGAAGAGGAGGAGTGTGAAAACAGTGAGAAAAAAAAAAAAAAAGTGTAGTAAACTTTGAAGGTAAAAGGGATATATAGTAAGCTCAGTATGACTGCTTCAAGCAGCAGCTAAAAAGTAGAAATTCTCAGTATGAGAAAGCTATACAAATAAATCCTAAGGCAGCAATACGTGCTAATTCCTTGCTGATTAAGCTTAACAGAGGTACAAGGATTAAACTCTAGGAGAATTGTAACTGCACCCAAAATCAAACTGGATTCTAAGTGTTGGCATAAAATTTGGTAATATTAAAAGTAATTACCACTTGAAATAAAACATTCTAGACGTATCAATTACCTGAACAAATTAAGACAAAACACACCAGCCAGCCACGGTGGCTCGTAAGTTTGAGTTAGAGACCACCCTCATCAACATGGTGAAAGCCAATTTCTACTAAAAATACAAAAACTAGCTTGGGTGTGCTGGCACCCACCGGTAATCCCAGCTACTCAGGAGGCTGAGGCAGGAAACTGCTTGAACCCAGGAGGCAGAGACTGCAGTGAGGCAAGATTGTGCCACTGCATCCCAGCCTTGGAGACAGAGACTCCACCCGACTCCCCAAAAGACAGACATGCCAGCTGGATGCAGAAGCAGGTCTGTTATCCCAGCATGTGTGGAGGCAGAGGCAGGTGCATCATTTGAGGTCAGCAGTTTGAGACCAGCGTGCCCAACATGGTGAAACCCCATTTCTACTAAAAATACAAAAATTAGTGGGTGTAGTGGCATACGCCTGTAATCCCAGCTACTTAGAAGGCTGTGGCACAGGAGTTGAGTTGCTTGAACTCAAGAGGCAGAGGTTGCAGCGAACCACTGCATTCCAACCTGAGCGACAGAAACTTTGTCTCTCCAAAAATAAGAATAAAAAATAAAGACAAAAATGTCTACCATAATCTCCAAAGTAAAAATATTACAAGACATTTAATAAAGGCAAGTATTCAAAGGAAGCTTCTTAAACGAATATTCTGACCGTAAGACATTAGATGTTAACATAGTGCCATTTCCTGGGTCTCAATAAATCTAATGCACGTCAATACTACACAAGAGTAGAAAAAAACCCAAAAAGTCAACCTATTAATAAAGCTGTCATCTGGCAAGTGAACATACTTAAAAAACCATATCTGATTCTTGTCTTTTAAAATGTGAACAGATTGAAATAATCTGTTTTGCCTAACTGGGTGGCTCACGCCTGTAATCCCTGCACTTTGGGAGGATAAGCTGGGCATCTACTTTGAGACTAGGAGTTGGAGATCAGCTGAACCAACATGGTGAACCCCGTCTCTACTAAAAATAAAAAAAAAGATTAGGCAGGTGTGGTGGCCCATGCCTGTAATCCAAGCTACTGAGGCCGAGGAACGAGAATCACTTGAACCCCAGAGGCAGAGGTCACAATGAGCCAAGATCGCATCACGGCACTCCAGCCTGGTTAACAGGGTAAGACTCCATCTCAAAAATTAAGAGGGCCAAAGTAGTTTTTCCCATTCTAGCTCCAATAAGTACTAAATCAACTAACAATTGATGAGAGCCATCTACCTCAAACCCTTAACTATGTAGTTTTTAAAAATTGATATAAAAAAGTTTAAGTTTACATTAAAATTTAAATATAGGCTGGGCATGGTGGCTGATACCTGTAATCCCGGCACTTTGGAGGCTGAGGCAGAAGGATCACGAGGTCAGGAGTACAAGATAAGCCTGATCAACACGGTGAAACCCCATCTTCACTAAAAACAAAAATTAGCCAGCCAAAGTGGCATGCGCCTGTAATCCCAGCTACTCAGGAAGCTGAGGCAGGAGAATAGCTTGAACTCAAGAGGAGGAAGTTGCAGTGAGCCAAGATTGTGCCACTGCCGTCCAGTCTGGGTGACAGAGCGAGACACTGTCTCAAAAATAACTAAATAAGGCCGGGCGCAGTGGCTCATGCCTGTAATCCCAGCACTTTGGGAGGCTGAGGCGGGTGGATCACAAGGTCAAGAGATCGAGATCATGTTGAAACGCTGTCTCTACTAAAAAATACAAAAATTAGCTGGGCATGGTGGCACATGCCTGTAGTCCCAGCTATTCGGCAGGAGAATTGCTTGAACCCAGGAGGAGGGTGTTGCAATGAGCCGAGATCACACCACTGCACTCCAGCCCGGCGCCTGGCGACATAGCGAGACTGTCTCAAAAAAAAAAAAAAAACAAACACTTTTAAACAGTATGTCAAAATGTGACCCAAAATAATAAAACCTGTTCATTACACAGTTGGAATTTTTGCTTTTCTGTTTAAAATTGTATCAACTAGGCCGGGTGCTGGCTCAAACCTATAATCCCAGCACTTTGGGAGGCTGAGGCAGGCTGATCACGAGGTCCAGAGATTGAGAACAGCCTGACCAATCTGGTGAAACCCCATCTCTACTAAAAAACGCAAAACTTAGGTGTGTTGGCGTGTGCTTGTATTCCCAGCTATGCAGGAGGCTGAGGCAGAAGAACTGCTTGAACCCAGGAGGCAGATGCTGCAGTGAGCCGAGATCACGTCACTGCACTCCAGCCTGAGGGACTGTGAGACTCTCTCTCTCCAAAAAAAAAAAAGATCACCAGTGAAGTTTTTGTAGCTTGTGTTTTATGTCTAAACTGAAAGAGATGATTTCTAATGTTATTTGCCAAGTACTTCACCACAAACATGCTGTCTTGGCGAGTCAAGTACCAGTTAAACTGGATACTATCAACTGCAAGCACCACTCATTTAAAATATAGAAGGATTAAATTTGTTCACCACTGGAGCTATATAATATACAAGGTCATTTACCACATCAGGAAACCCTAACATAATAAACAAAATGTAATTCTGGTTAACTGAGGGGGGGAGAAAAATAGAAACAGGTTATTACC